CCTTGTGGTCTGTGGAGAGGGGCATCTCCAAAGATGATGCAGAGAAGTCCACACTTCAGAAGTAACCCATCATTTCTGGATGTCTCCTACACAGCCAGGATGGTTCTAGGGCAGAATCAGAGAATCATAGAATATCCTGAGTTGGAAAGGACCCACAGGGATCATCCAAATCAGCTCCTGTCCCTGCACAGGACACCCCAAGAATCCCACCACACACTCGGGAGCGTTGTCCAAATGCTTCTTGAGCTCTGTCAGGCTTGGGGCTGTGCCCACTGCCCTGGGGAGCCTGTTCCAGTGTCCAACCACCCTCTGGGTGAAGAATCTCTTCCTAATATCCAACCTAAACCACCCTGAAACATCTTCATGCCATTCCATTGAGTCCTGTCACTGGTCACCAGAGAGAAGAGATCAGTGCCTGCCCCTCCTCTTCCCCTCGTGAGGAAGCTGTAAACGGCTGGGAGGTCTCACCTCAGAGCTAAGGGTATTTCCAGAAATGGATGATCCAGGCTGATGTGTTCAACAGTTGTATCAACAAACACTTATTTAAAGGCTGGAAACTTTTGCTGCATTAGATTACTGTCCTTTACTGCCCACAGACAGCCCCAAATCTCATTCTCAAGGACTACTCTGCTTCTGCATGATGAACTCAGTGGGCATTTCTCAACCCTAAGTATTTACTGCAGATGTAAACAAGGCCGAAAGATGAACTGGAAGGTAGGTCTATTTTACAGAATCACAGAATGGTTTGGGTTGAAAGCAACCTCAAAGACCATCCAGTTCCAACCCCATGCCATGGGCAGGGATGCCACCCACTAGATCAGGTTCCTCAGGGCCCCATCCAACCTGGCCTAAGTTGTTTCATTAAGTTTCATCAAGCCCTAAAGTACATTTACTATGTTGTTACAGTCACCAAAGGAAGAAAGGTTAAATCTACTTGTTCAGGTTCCAAAATGACTCTCACAGCCTTCCCTCCCACCCTTTCTGCTTAGAGACCTAACTGTGCATGTTGAGGAATAGTTTACAACAGGGCAAAATAAGAGCTCTAATTCTGATCTGTCAGCAAACCCCTTTGCATAGGTGTAAATCATCCAGCAGAGTAAAAGTCAGGAGAAAAACGGGCTGCTACTTCCAGGCTTCAAGCCCCACAATATTCTAAAATAAAAGTATCATGGATTTCCAATTTGCCTGTCACTTGAAAGTATTAGGAGAGGTGGTGCTATTTTTCTTACAGGAGCTTAGGGGATGGTCTGTGGTTGTGTGGGAAAAGAAGAGGAGGTATTTCAAATCCACCTGACAGTGGTGAAATACCATCTCTGGAGAGGAACGTGGCTATAGGTCTGCAGTTGTGTTCTTTGGTGGTTCTGCATTAAACCAGAAGATTTTTTGTCAGACAGCACCTCTCACAAATTTCATCCCAGAAATGCAAACCTTAGCAAAACGTTTCATGGCTTTTTCAATACCTGTCAGGCACCTGCTTTTATCATTGCTGCTTAAAATTAAATAATAATAAATAAAGAAGTAGTTATTACTGAGATAAGGAGAATTCTTGCTCCCCTGCAGAATTTGACCAGCTGTAGGCAGATGGTTACTCATTAACTTGCTACCAGAAATTCAGGTTTGCGTTTTTCAACTAAATTATCTCCAGAACAGTCTGTAAGACACCCCTCTTAACCCCTCACCACCTACAGATTAGTTCAGCATCACCCCAGACTCATCTGTCAAGTCATTGCTGACAGCTCAGCCCTCAAGAAGGACCCCATGGGAAGCAGCTTCACAACTTCCCTGCCATTAGTCACCTCTCAAGTTAGTTTTCCTCCTCCCACCCATACTATTCCCAAGTCAGTTTTAATTTTACAAGTTTCACTTTATTTCCTAATGAAAGAGCCCCTTGGATCCTTTGTAAAAGCCTTGCAAGCTATATTCACCTCCCTCTCTCTCATTATCCATAAGCCTCTTAGCTTAGGAGAGACAGAAATTAATTTGCCATAATTTCATTATGATGAACCCTGGTCCCTACTGATCATGATAGTGATTTTTTCCCCCCCTCCAGGTGCTGATTTATTTCTTTTTAACTGTTTATTTCTATTTAAACTGTTTATTTCTTTTTAACTACTCTTGCAACTCCTCTTGTGCAGAAGTAAGTCATCTCCCTGCACCAGACTCCTGCAAAAAGCAAACAGATCCCTCCCTTCCCATGCCCAGGACCTCGGCTGCCCTCCCTGAGCTCTTAATATTCACCAAAGTTTCCGGTATTGCCCCGATAATCCTTTTAGTGCCCGAAGATAAACGACATCAAACCGTGACTACTCTGATTGCTTTGCCTGTGCTTTCTAATTCTGTCGTGCCTTTCACATTCCTGCATTAAGGGGTGGACCAGGGCTTAACATCTGTCAGGGAAAGGCCACTGGGATGTTTTCCTGCAGCAATTCTCAGCCGGAGGTTCCTGCAGCAATAATAGAAAGCAAGTTAAGAGACGTACAACCTCCACATTGTTGTTAGCACGCCTTTCTCCCAGTAATTTACTGCAGTTCCTTGCAGTTCCTTGGATTGGAGCTGTCTTTCCAGGTTTTTCAGGGTTGCAACTAGATGATCTTTAGGACCCTTTCCAACCCAAACCATTCTAGGATTTTATGATTAAGTGGTTAAGCCCAGCTAAAGATTGCTGCATTTAGGACTCTGCAGCAGGAGTTAACATTGAGTTAACAGAGCCAGTCAACCTGAAGGGAGAACTGGGGGAACTACACACTCTGAGTCCTGCATGTACTTCAGAAACACAGAAAAAAAATATACACTGTACAAGTGTGTTAAAAACTAGTGGAAGGTGTCCCTGCCCGTGTCAGGGGGGTTGGAACCAAATGATCTTTAAGGCCCCTTCCAACCTAAACCATTCTATGATTCTGTGAGAAAACTGTCCCCCTTCCCTGAGAATTGCAGAGACATGGATGTTGCCTTAGTTTTACCCTCAAATCTATTTGTGTGTGGACTCCAATATATGCAAACCCCCTCTTATAACTTCCCTGTTGCAAAACACAGGCTGGAAGGAACAGACACAAAATGCAATAAAATATCAAATCTCAAGAACTTCATCCAGATAAAAATGCTGACTGACACATCTCTCATAATTTATACTCCTGTAGAGACTGTCTCACGTATTTCAGAGCAGAATCAGAAACACTGCTTTGAGGGAATAGAAATATGTAAGAAAGTGTCCTACACACACACACACACACACACACACACACACACACACACACACACATGTATGTAGGGAAGACAGGGACAAATGGACAGGAGATAAATGGCAGTGCAGATTAATTTAGCCTATTATCCTCCCCACACTCACTCTCTTGGTTTTAGCATTTAACATGCATTCAATACTCGATCTGGCACTGTGAAAAGCAAAGATGAAGGGCACTTTACTGAGGGGAATGAATGATCGATTGCTTCAGCTCTCCTTGAGAAACTACCATGAAACCCTCATTAATAAAGGAGCCAGCACTTGGTGGCTGAAAAGTTTTGGTGAACAGAGATGTAGAAAAAAAATTTTTTTAGGCTTTATTCTGATTTTAAAAGTTGCCTCTGCTGGTTCACGTTTTCTTGCCACCAGATCTTTTTTCAGTGGCAAGAGCGCACAGAGCAAACATCTGCAAAAAGGGAACAAATCACACCAATTTCTGAGGTGCAGGCATTTCCATTCCAGAAAATACATGTTTCATTAAAAAGAAAAAAAAAAAGCCAACATTGCTTAAACTCAGGCAATTTTAATTGAAAAATGAATCCATTTCACTCAAACGACTGTGAAGTGTTTTGTTATTTTGTGAAGTGAGCAAGAAATCAAAGGCAAACAAACAGCTCGAGACACTTTTCAGTTTGCTGGGGTTATTTGTGTATTTCTAGTTAGGGGCATTAAAGCACAAATGCTCCTGTGTGGATGCTTAAATTAAGCAATGTGCCTAAACCCAGTTCCTCGATCAGGATTTAAGTGAGAAGGAAAAGGCATTAGCAGCAATTGTAGCACTGAAATTGTCAGGGTGTAGCAAACAGGCTGTCTCATACAGCAATGAAAAATGCCCACTCTTGGACTAACAAGAAATCTAAAAGGAAAGGCAATGACCAAGCAATTCTTTTACAGAGCAAAACCAGGTGGTTTATCATCTCTGAGAAACTCAGCTTTAGGAATCAGCAGACAAACATCCAGGGCACTGCAGGAGTGCACAGGCACAATGGCCTCGTGTCAAGCCAGGGCAGGAATCAGGTGCTGTGGGTTTCAGAAGGAAGCAGGTCAGCAAAGGAAACACAGTTAATGAAGTTACACTGACCCCCCATTTCATTCCAGATGAAAAATTAAGGAGATGTCACCACAAAGCTCACGGAGCAGCCTGGAGGAAGGTTTGATACACGCTGGTTTCCTTGATGGGAAATATGAAGAAACTATTTTAAATGAGCAGCACCAAGGGACACCAGGTTTGCTATAAATCCACCTTTTAGGCACTGTAAAAAGCCTTCATAAACCTCCACATGGAAGTTAATAGATGTTGCACTGTAGATATCAATTATTGAAGCTGTGTGGGTAATGCAAGTGGACTGGCACTTACAGCAAATGTTGAAGATGATGCAAACTCCTCTAACAGTGAAGTAACAGGCAAAGGAACCCAATATTCAGCAAACTCCTGATCTATTTGATTTGCTTCAGTACTATCACTGGCAGAGGCAGTGGAATAGCCTTTGGCTTCTAAGCCAGATGTGTGTGGATCCCACAACTTGGGTTTCTCTTGACATCCCTTTCTTCTCCATCTGAAAACTCCATTTAGATGGGATACAATGATTTTGGGTTTATTCAGCTGGGATTTAAATGCATATTCACAGACAAGTCTATTTAAAACATGGCTGATCCATAGAGTCCAGGTCCAATGAGACCATATCCTTCTAAACAGATAAACATGTTTTTGACCTCACACCTGTCCACAAAGAACGTGATCTTAATATGCTTTTTTTATGTGTTCAAACGTGCTCATGTTCCCAAATCAGCCCCTATAACACACATCCCACTGTCCCACATCTCATCTCATCTCCCTGGGCTCAACCACCACTCTCACATGTCCTAAAGTGAATGAATTAATTTCCCTTCCCTACCATTTCCACACCCACAACAACATGCACTTCACCAAAACCAAACATCAGCCACAAGTTCTCTAATTCTTCAGACAAACAAAACCAAAAAACCCCAAAACAACTTCATACCAAGAGTTTGCTCCTATACCTCTATATCAGTCTCCCTGAATTCCTCAAATCCTGTGCCATGTGCTCTGGGATGACCCCGCTTGAGCAGGGAGGTTGGACCAGATGAGCCACTGTGGTCCCTTCCAACTGACCCATTCTGTGATTCTGTGATTCTGCATCCCCAAAACATGTCCCAGTCACATCCCCTGAACTGGGACATGATCTCCTGCCCCCCTACATCTCCATGCACTTATGAAGCGTGGCCACATACAACCTTCACCTGTCCAACTCCATTAAATGAGAGCAAGATAACAGGACTTATCATTCTGGTTCTTGGATCACATTATATTCCCTGATATGGGATGTCCAAACCACTTCCTCACCCACCTAAAATTCATCCCAGGTTTCCACCCACTACCATGTCCTGAGCCAGAACTGTGGCTCTCAGCCTGCCTGGTACAATAATACTGGGACCAGACTGGGAAGCTGCAAATTGCTGCTGCTTCAGACAGAAAAAAAATGACCTTCATGACTCCTTCTGAAGGTGACAACTTCCAGTGCTGCTGAGAATGACACCTGACTGTTCCACCTACGATGGGCTGGGGACCTCTGCTCTAACCAGTGTGACCAGTTCCATGAGCTCCACAGCAAGAGAAAACCTCAAGTGCCACACAATTTGGTTTTTCTCTCTGTGTTCCACCTCTTCCTCTGCTAGAAGGCACTTTGGAGAACAGTGGGATGCAGATAGGGAAGTCAGCTGGAGGGAAGAGAGCTTTTAAAGTACAAAATGAAGCCCAAAAGTTGATGTTGGTACCAGTGCTGGCGCTTTCTGAACACACTCCCTTGAGGAACTTGTGCCAAGATCTATATTTTCTGATTTTTTTTTTAAGCAAAAAACAGGAGAACAGAAAAACGTGAAAGTAGTATAAGGCAGAAACCAGCTTTAAAATATGTTTGCTTGAGAGGATTTTTTGCTGTGCCTTTATTTGTTTTCATATTGCCCTCTGTTCTCAAAAAGCACGGAACTGACTAAAAGGAATTGTGCTGGGAAGAGAAATGGATCTCAGCAGCCTACTTACTACCTACTGCTCTATCCCATATACTTCATATGCCTCTTTAAATCTGACACCTCTGCAACTTTCTGAACATAAGGGCAAGCTGTGAAGTACAAGGGAAATTAATATACTTATCCTGCACAGAGTGCAACACACTCAAAATATAGAAAAGTATTTAGAGATCAAGAACTCTATCTCCTTCACTGTCTCTTCCACTCACATTTCACTCTGCTTTGCATTGCTTTTCTAGCAACACTTTAATTTGGCAGGCAGACAGATGTACCTGTCTCTTTTTAGCAATTTTTAAGTTTCCAAAACAGGCAAAATCTTAAAAGAAACGCTACTGGCGAGACTCCTCTGCTCATCAGCCCCACATTTCATTAATTTAAAGATCCTTCAGGCTCTCAGGTGACAATAATACATAATTCCCAACGTCCCAGAAGTCGCTCTTCCCCACCACCCTCCAGCTGACAGCAGCCCATAAAGCAGCCCAGTAGTTGGATTACAAAAACACAGGGCACTTTATTGGCCCATAAAACACCCTCAAGAGCAGCCATGTGAATGAAGACCCCGTTTTGTGGGGCAATAAATATTGCACCAGCACCCAAAAGGCACTGCTATTCCAGGAATTGTGCAAATCACCCTCTGTGGTTCATGACAAAATGTCTCAGGCCGTGGCCAGAAGGACCTGAACCTCCACAGGGAGAACAACAATTAAAATGCGCCACCGGTTGTCCAAAAAATTAGACTTCGAAGAGATACTGCCCTAATAAGGAAGGGGTACAAACACATAATAAAAGGATAAACAAACAGAATAAAAGACCTGAGGAAGTCCATTATAAATCAACAGGCTCTGAGCTTTGTTTCAGGCAAGGCAAGACTCTCTGCTGGCAGAAAGCAGTGGATGAAGCACATAATGAACTCAGAGCAACTTTCTGTTTACAGGGAGGGCCAAGGGAGATTTCCAAACGTTCCAATCCATTCAAATGTGAAAACTGTAAGCCCTGTTATCAGAAACCTCTGCTGCTGATAGCAAATTTGTTCTCCAGGGGGAAAATGGATTCAGCTTAAGAACTACTGTTCAGGGGCCGATGCAGGTACTTGAAAGAAAATTACCTGATGAAAGATCAATAATGTTTCTCCTCTCCCTGAATCGAAGTTTCTGTGCAGAATAAAAAATTCCTGGGACTGATTCTCTCCCACCTTGCTAAGCCATTGTAAATGTAACTAAGCAAGGATATTAGATATTTAGGATCATGTGAAAATCACACTACATTTGTGCAGGCACCCAAAAGGGAAAGAAAATATTGAAAGCCACACTCAGTGCACCACAAAAGCAGACAGAGCAGCACAAACATGTTTCCTTGCAGTCTTAGAGCTTAAAAACAGGCTTTCCTACAAAATGGTAAGTATGCTAAGTTTATGCAACAGCTGCCAAAAAGTTGTGCACATGGATCCAGCTGACAGGTTCCCTAAATGAATCCAGCAGCAATATCCATTAAAGGCCCAGTGCACCACAGGAGAGATGTTACTGAAGCATGTGACTGACCTTTCCTTTTAAAATAAAAGGATTTTACATCAAAACAGGGTCAGGTTGAAATGCAAGAAGCTAAGGAGAGTAATCCTAAATATATATAGTTTTTTTTTTCCTTTTCTTTCTCAAACGGACAGAAGAGTTTGTTCAGGTGAAAATGGACTTGTGGAGCACAATGAAAATCTGGAGAACTTTAGACACATGAGACCTTGGGTAAACGGTGATGGCTTAGCTATTATGGAGCAGAAAGAGATTTTTCCCTCCCACTTGTTTGTCAGCTCACTCAAGTCTATCAGTTGGTTTGTGCTGTGCTAGGAGGCAAATATCAACTCCAAACTGCTGGACTGCTTTTGAGGGATCTGAATTAACAATCCCATCACTGTCCAAATAAAACCCATTGAAATTAAAAGTTGACGATAATCCATTAGATGTGGGGTCCTGCCCTTGGGTCACAACAACCCCATGAATTGTTACAAGTTTGGGACAAAGTGGCTGGAAAAGGACCTAGGGGTGCAAAGCATGAGCCAGTGTGTGCCCAGGTGGGCAAGAAGGCCAAAGGCACCTGGGTTGTATCAGCAATAATGTGGGCAGCAGGACTAGGGCAGGGATTGTCCCTCTGTGCTGGGAACTGGTGAGACCACAACTCAAACCCTGGGTTCATTTTTGGGTCCCTCATGACAAGACAGACATTGAAGGGCTGGAGTGTGTCCAGAGAAGGGCAACAGAGCTGATGAGGATCAGTTGAGGGAACCAGGAGTGCTCAGCCTGGAGAAAAGGAGGCTCAGGGAGGACCTTTTCACTCTCTACAACTCCCTGAAATGAGCCTGTAGCCAGGTGGGTGTCGGACTCTTCTCGTAGGTAACAAGTGACAGGACCAGAGCAAATGGTCTCAAGCTGCACCAGGGCAGGTTTAGGTTGGATATTGGGAAAAAATTCTTCACTGAAAAATATGACAAGCATCAAAAGAGTGTGCCCAGGGCAGTGGAGTCACCATCCCTGGAGGGATTTAAAAGATGTGTAGATGTGGCATTTGGGGACGTGGTTGAGTGGTGGACCTGGCAGTGCTGGGTTAGTGGTTGGACCAGATGATCTTAGAGGCCTTTTCCAATCTTAATGATTCTATGATTCTAAATAATTTTACTATTCTGTGATTAGAAAACAGACTCCCCCATGCTGAAAAAGAAACATCTCCTGTCCTTGTACTCTTAATCTTGGACTGACTATAAGACTGTACTGCCACGTTCATTAAGTCCCTTGGCTTTTGGGGACTGAAAACCTCTCATATACTGGATTTTGGATCATTTGATGTTATCCCAAATGGACTTTATTACTATCCTTAACTCTTAAACTGAGAGCTAATCAGCCAGATTTCCCAAACCAGTTCTTGGGTCTGTTTTCAGGACTCTTCCCAACTGTACAAAACCCAAATGCCAGATGAGATCCAGATTCATAACTCCCAATGCATTTGACATCCAAGCCATCAGTCCAATCACCTACAATCCAGGACTTCATCATCCTGTAGGCACCAAAACACAGAGTGTGGCCCTCTATTTACTTAAAGGTCTGTAGGAATTTAGTGTCTGTTCCTTCCATGGTTTAGAAATACCTGCAAAAGGGAGACAGGCTGATTTCCTGCTCTTGAAGCTCTCTTGCTTTCCAGGCTGACAGGTTCCTGCACAGAGAATCCCACAAAACAGTTCTGCTGCTGCCCACAAGTTGTACCATTTCTTCTGGCTGGAGCATCCATTCCCCTTATCCCAAAACTGTTGGGAAGATGTGAAGATAAGCCAGCTGAAGGCATGAAGTCAGCATGGGTAAGTTCTAAGACATTAATGAACTCCAAAGCCTTCCTTAACTGAGGTCTAGTGTCACACAAGGCTCCCAGAAGCCTGCTCAGAGTTGGCCTTGATCTTGAGCAAGGGCTTGGACCAGATGACATCAGAAAACCATTCCAAACAACACCATTTGTGATGTGTTGAGCCCTGATCAGACCACTGGAATGATGTTTTTCCCCTAAGTTATCACCCTTTTCCTAACCACTTAATTCCAAGGGTAACTGAGAGTTATCTCTGGTCAAAAACCAGAGTTTACCAAAAAGTTTGGAAAGCCCTGAAGCAATCAGGCAATTTAAATAAATAATTAAATATATCATTAAAATAAATAAATAAATCATTGCTTTCTAATTATCTACTTTCCTGCATTAATCATTAAAAAAAATAAAAAATCTGTCATTTCTTGATGGAACATGAAAGAGAACTGGTGGTATTTTTAGCTGTGTTGCCAAACAGAAATATCCTGTCCACACATTCCATCCCATTAGACTAACATTTAGCTGGGTACTTTGTGGTTGTAGGCTCCTCTAAACAACTTGACCAGACAATGGGATCTGGCTTTGTTAGCCCAAGTCTTTCTGCCCATCTCCCAGCCCTGCACTATAGGCAGCCCCTGCTGGGCCCAAAACCAGCTGCAGCCATTCACAACCCTGCCTGTTCCTGTGACTTCACCGTCACAGTCTCAACTTCAGCTCAGCCAGATTTTGGCAGATTTTACATCCTCGGTGAGATGTGATTTTCTGCTGTAGAAGTGCCTCATAATCTCGTCACCCAGATGGGTCTTTGTCACCTGCTCCCCACCCAACTGCAGACAGGGTGCAGGATGATGCTGGATCTCCTCTTCCTCTTCCCTCCAGCTACGAGGACACTTTTCCTTTGGAGAGGGCACTCTGCCAACAGCTCAAAGGAGCCTCATGCAACCAGTGGCATCTCACCCACGGTGTGATGAGTGGATGTGCCTCTCTGACACAATGTCTCTGTCACACCAGCAGGATCTTGATTTTAGTTCTGAAACACTTTCCTTACCAAACAGACTTATAGAAAAGGACCCTTTTACTATCTTGTATAGGAGATAAAAAAATTTCTATCAGTGCAGGATCTCATCTGCCCTAAAAAAATTGCCTAAAAGGAACTTGCTGAATCAGCTGCATTCATTTGATTACTCCATATCAATCTCTTACATTAATGTATTCATTTAATGCCACTTTGGAAGTGAAGTGTGCCTTATTATTTTTATTATTTTGGAGGTTGGAAGATGTCAGAGATAACTAACAAAGAAAGGTCTTTGGGACTGTATCCCAGAGAACAGAAAATAAAACCAGCAATCTACAGCAGCAGCTTTTGAACAATGACATGAAATCAACTTTTCAAATGCCTGAATGTGCAGCAGGGAACCTGACGGGGGTGTAGGGACTTTTTTCCTAAGGGAGATGAAAACACTGCAGAAATATTTCTCTTTCCTTCTCTGCCTCCCCTCCCTGGAGACCTGCCTTTTTAGCACTCTCACTGTTGGGGTTGTAGCTCCCCAAATGCAAAGAGGATGACAAACAGCAGGTGAAATTATTTGAAAAAGAAAAAGATCAATTAATCTCCAAGTTGAACCACCTTCTTTTTCTCATAGACCAAAATAAAATCAATATTTAAAACAGACAATCCAGTAATTTACCAACTCCCCTGTTAACATGAAAGGCAGCATGTCTTCAGCTCCCCTTGGCTCATGGTTCCAGCTCCATTACTTGGCACAGCAAGCTGAGACTTGCCCAAATTTTCATCTATTCAGCATTAGTTCAAGCTGCAAAAGTTCCTACCTCTATGTATTTGGGAATTAGCCATTGAGGAACTGTGATAC